ACCTCCCCATCTGTAAAATGCTGATGATGAATCTATATCAAACACATATATATGAAACATACATACACTGTTGTAAAGATTCAATTGGACTGTGCATACAATGTATGTAAATAACTAGAACACATCAAATATGCTCAATAGGTACTAGTGAATGCTCTGGGACAGCATTCACATTTAATTTAAAATATATAGCAATTAATATGTTTAGTACAATAATTGCTTTGAAAACAAGTTTTAGAAAATTATTTGCTATATAGAAAAAGGCAAAAATGCAGCATGTAGCTACACAGCTGAAGGAATCTGAAAGTTATCCTGAAATCTACTAAAATATACTTAGTTTTTTAAAACTACTTCCTTTGGTTTTTAACATGTATCAGGTTTGAATTCGCTTTGGAAAACATTAATTTTTTTTCCTAAATAAGGGCTTGATAATTTCCACATAACATGGATAATAATATCATTTAATTTTTTAGATAGTCACTTTTTCAAAACTTGCTCAAAATTTTCACTTACTCAAAAATATACAAAGCGAAATACAAGCAGCAGTTTATACCTTGGCCTTTACCAATTGCTAATGTAATTATTTGACCAAAGAGTGGAACAGGTTCATCTTTAGTTCACCATTTTTGTATAGCTTTATGCAAGTGCAGGCCATTTTTCCTCATTGCTTTAAACGTAATTATTAATATTATCAGCAAGCCTGGAATTCAATCTTACTGTGTCTCCAATGGAAAGGTTTTTCTGTCAATCACATGTCAGTATTTTCTCCAAAAGCTGCATTCCTTATCTAATAGAATCTTAACATTTTAAATTCACAGACCTTCCATTTTACTCCATTGAAGTTTTTATTTAGAGACCAAAGTTAGAATTCGGTGACCTGAATTAGAGAGCAAAAGGAACCTAAGCTTTGAAAAAGACAACAAGAACCCTCAAAATGCTCATGCATGACTTAGAGGAAAGAATAAGATCCTTGGGATGTTAAGAGTTTGACAACACTAACCAGGCTCTGGGGTCTGCTTTTGCTTTCAAGCTGATCCTGTTTAGAGAACTTTCAATAGAGAGCTTAAGAGGTACAGGCTCTCAAGACAAACTGTATGAAATAAATTCCAGCTCTATTACCCACCATGTGATTTGAGCAAATTGCTTTTACAAAGGGAGAATACTGATCTCTAGCTCATAGGATGATTCTTGAGGATTGAATCAGTTCGTGTAAAATGTGGAGGATAGTGCCTAGCACAAGGTAAAGACACAGTAAATATTAGCTGTTATTATTTTATAAACATATATACAGACTAAAGCAAGTGTGTGTGCATGCATGCACATATACATGCATGAATATATATTTACACATATGAATGTACATATGTATAAGTATGCATACATATATAGCACCAAAATAGTGTGCATTTTTGTTTTATCTTAAGTTTTTACTTGTCATGGACCCCATTTTCAAGAAAGCATACATAGATTTATCTCATTAAAAAATTACTGTCTTCTATTATATTCTATAGCTGTACCATTGTTACATTGGCATACATTTAGTTTTTCTCTCCAGGATTTTTGTTTTACAGTAATACTTAAAGATACAGGTTTCTATATGTTACCTAGCATATGAGTATCATTCTTTCTGAAGAACAGATTCCTGGAAGTGAAAGTGATGGGTCAAATTATATTTATATTTTAAATTTTAATAGATTATCCCAAAGTGTTCCCCAAGTATATCATACTACTTTATACTCCTAAAAAACTGTATATAAGACTTCGTTTTTTTCAGACATTGGCCAGATAATGCTATCAGTTTGATTATTGAAAATCCAAGGAGTACTGGTTTAAAGGAATGCAGCTCTGTATGACTCACTATTCATCATTAACTAAGGTCCTGACTCTGTAAAATTACATATTATGTGGTAGATTTCATTCCAGTAGGAATGCAAATGATTTCTCTCTGGTGGAGAGGATAATTCTATTGATTATGGTTTTATTGTCCTGAAAGATAAGCAGCTTTGTAAATAACCTAGAAAGCCCATAAATATATTTTTTAAACACGTATACAAATATCCAGAATTTCAAAATGGTCTTTTATCCACCTTTCTCATCTTCTTGAGTCCCTTAGTAAAGAGTTATAAATCTTTGCTATGTGTTCAGTCTAGTGATTTAATAGGTTTTTTTTTTTTTTTAATTGAGGCAGAGTCTCACTCTGTTGCCCAGCCTGGAGTGCAGTGGTGTGATCTTGGCTCACTGCAACCTCCACCTTCTGGGGTCGAGCAGTTCTCCTCCTCAGCCTCCTGAGTAGCTGGGGTTAGAGGTGCCAGCCACCACGCTGAGCTGATTTTTGTATTTTTAAGTAGAGACGGGGTTTCACCTTGTTGGCCAGGCTGGTCTTGTGATCTGCCTGTCTCAGCCTCCTAAAGTGCTGGGATTACAGGTGTGAGCCACCGCAACCAGTTTATGAGATATTTTAGAAGGCTTGAAAGATTTCATTTTCAACTAATAATATACATACAAGTTATTGTCTGACTTTTCGAAAATTATACTTTGATGCAGCCAAGTCCTTGATATATTACAAACATATAGCTTGGCTTTTACTGTCCTTCTTCTGTAAACTAACAGCATGGTATTTTCCTTAAAATTCAGCTATGGCATAATCTAATATTTTTCTGAAAGTCACTTTGTAATCCAGAATTCACAAACAGTACACGAAGATAAATATAACCAGACGTTTATAGACTGCTATTATCTATTGTTTGCAAGGATGTGAGCATAGGTACCATAGTTTTATGTTAATGTAGGCTATTTATTTCATGCTGATTTGAGCGCTAATCATTAATGTTCTCAGCAAGCCTTGAAGTTAAGCCAATATTTGTCTGGCTCTAATGAAAAGACATAGACTTACCAATAATTTAAGTGCAAGCATTTCCCTAAAAGTTTCATTTTTCACCTCATGGTGTAGTATTTCCACTTTAAGTGCAATGAACGAGAATCTTAAAATTTTAGCATTCCTGACAGATGCAAAACAGTGGAAGAGCAAATGACTCCACAGAAGTATTAATTTATAAATAAAAGTTCTTACCTACAAATCAGACTTAGTTCTCTTCAACTGCTAGTGGATGACTGATTTTTGTGGGCTCCCCAGCGTGGGAATCAATAACTTAGTCATCTATACTGTATACAACTCTCAGACTATTTGAGTGAAGTAATTCATTGATAACTATATAGGAGCATCTACTTACTGTACATCAGATACTCTGCTTGGCACTGGGACACAGCAGTGAATACATGACAAAATTCCTTCCTTCATGAGGTTTCTCTATTAGTTGGAGGAGCCCAGTGATTGGAGAAAGGTAGTTGGAGATGAGCACAGAGAAATAACCTACATAACGAAGGACGTTAGAAGAACTTCAGCTTAAGATGTAAAGACATTGGAGGGTTCTAAGTAGAAGAATAATATGATAAAAATTGCATTTTAAAAAGTCAGACAGACAACTCTGCTGTTGTGTTGAGGATAGACTGAGGTGGATGTCGCCTCCAGGGGACCTGTAGATAGGAAGCTATTATAATAATTAAAGCAAGAGATGACAGGGTTTGGGCCAATGTATTTACTAAAGGCAGTGGAAACTTGTTGGTTCATGACATAACAGCTCAAAGAGATAAAAAATCAAAAAAAGGATATCTCCATTTTATTTTTATTTTTTGCCTTAGCAAGGGTAAGAATGGAATTGCTATTAACTGAGATAAGCAAGACTGTGCAGGGATTGGAAAAAATATCACAGTTAAATTTTGGATCTGGTGAGTTTGAGAGGATGTCTAATAAGAGATCATGAGGAGATGTCAAGTAGGTTGCCCTAGATAAGCATCTAAGCCTAGAGTTTGGAAGAGATTTCAGAGCTGGGTATACATATTAGGAAGTCTTATGTGTGAAGATGACATTTAAAGCAATAAGAATTAATGACATTAGGAAGCTGAGGTGGGAGAATCAAAACCAGGAGTTTGAGATTACAGTGGGTCATGACTGTGTCACTGCACTCCAGCTTAGGCAAGAAAGCAAGATCCTGTCTCTAAAAAATAAATAAATAAATAAAAGGATGAGATTACCAAGACAGTGTACACAGATAGGGAAGAGATCAGGCCAAGGACTAAGTCCTGGGGCACTTCTACCTTTGTACTCACATATCCTGAGTAAATTCAGGTATCTGATTTATTTAATCCAGTATTTGCTGCCTTGATTTTTCTAAAGAGCACATTTCTTTTCATGGATTACACATTCAAATTCCAGGGAACTTAAATTATGCAAAACATCCTTTGGGAAATGATTTAATTTCATTGCCTCATTTTTCCACTTAATGTTGCTTATGTAAACAGAGCTATTAAATACTTACTTGTCTTTATTTCAGTAGTTTTCACAGTGAAATTGGAAAGCTAATAGGATAATCCATTCGATAAAACTGGCAGTAGCATTAAATCCTACCCTTCCCTTTTATTAATTTTAAATTATAATCATCAAATTTTGATCAGAAACAAAGAAGAAATTTCAAGTCACTTGTTTTCTTTCCTTGAAAATATTTTTTAAAAATTTAGAAAATTGTTTTAACATGCTAAAAGAGAGACCTTTCCCTCTAGTTGGAACTATAAATTCTCCAAGCCTGATGATCTTTAAGAAGGACATTTATTATTTCTGTTAGTTGGAGATCTTCTCCCTTGATATACTTGTGTGTCTCAGATAGGTGTCTTAAAGTATATTGAAAAAACTGAAAAATGAACATCCAAATATTGATTTTGATATACCATAAACATACTAAGTAAATGTTGATTGTTTCAGCCTATCCCACCTTGCGTATGTGAATACAAAGGTCATACATATACTCTTTTTTTCCCCAGAAATAAACAATATCACTAACCATCTGGCATTCTTTGATTCCTGAAATAAAATCTATTTCTAGGAACAATTTAAACTGTAGGAGAACTTCACTGTGTCATGAATTAAACTTTCCTATTTTTTTAAATCTTTGGATGATATCTCCTGAGAAAGTGCCACATTTATATTTGAATGACTTCAGCTCTGGTTGCTATCTTATTCTCTATTTTTTTGAATAAAAATCTTTGATTTTTAACTGTTACTTCCCCACCCAGCGTTAACAGTCATCCTTTAGTAGAATATATGCTACATCCAAATAATTCTTACTTCCATGAAAGATGCAAACAGTTGCAATCTCTGGCCTTAGAGGGACATGGTGGTCAAAATTAGTAAGCATATTGTTGTTCATTCATCTCACGTTAGCTTTACCTGAGACTGGGGCATCTCTTTAAGCTGGGGTATTAACAGAAAGCACAACATTATCAGCACTCATAGATCTAAGTTTCACAGACTAAATCCAAAGCCTGATGATTGGATTCTGATCCATGTTGTAACAAGGGCATTTCAAATTACGCAACTTTCATTTGTTGTTTTAGCACTTTCTCATGCCTCTGGGAGAGTGCAGATTTCTGTAGAATCCAGGAAGGTGCCAAAATTCATTCCTCACTGGGAAATGCATGGGAGATGAACATTCAGGCCAGAGTTCAGGTAGCCCTATGCTGGTTTGGTCCATCAGCTATTAAAATGAACAAAAGAAAAATGTGTGAGCAGAACTCACTGAATCAACTTCTATAAAGGGTGACTTACTTGATAGATCACTCCTGGGAACAGAAACTTGGCTGCAAATGCTAGATATCATTTGCTTAATCCTCTTATTCCCTACAGAAATAATGAAAACCAAGCTTATAAAGGCACAATAACAAAAAAGAATCATGCACATGACTACAACTATGATGTGGAAGTAGAAATATACTCTGTTGGCCAAAGAGTCAAATTCATTTTTCGTATTTATCAGAAAGCAGGCACATTCAACTGAGGGCAAGTACAAGGTGTTGTGAAGCACCATTTGAATAAGTGATGTTAACATTAAATTCCCAGTGAAAACTTTAGTTTCCCAGCTTATAAAATTATCACAATAATAATAATTATCTCCAATAATAATAATTATAATACCTGACTAAACATTGCATGGTCAGAAGACAACTGAGTAAGGTTATACCTATGAAAATGATTGCTCATTGCTAAGTTTGATATATAAATGCCAATTAAATGCTGCAAAAATAAGGGCTTCTAAATACATTCTGTGTTACATAATTCAACTTTTCCTTTTCCATTAGTACCAATAAGGTAGAATAGTGCAGGGAAGCATTACAATGAGGCTTCTCACTTAGGTGAGAGGAGGTAGGAGCTCCTTTAGGGAAGGACTACAAGTTTTTAAAGGATGTGGAAATGGGATGTGTTTTCTGTTGTCTTGAAATGGGGGAAAACCCTCAAAGCCAACACTAGGATACAGGTACTCCTATGGTCCATTGAAACCAACCCAATAATCCCATAAACTGTTCTTTTTGGAGCCCTCATTCATCATAATTGCATCCTTGCGCCTCCCTAGTTCTTGTTTTCTTACACATTGTTATGTTACTTCCCTGCTATATAAACCCATAGGTTTAGCTGGGTCAGAGAGATGAATTTGAGACTGAGTGCCCATCTCCTTGGCTGCAGCACTGGATTAAAGCCTTCTTTCTTGACAATACTCATTGTCTCAGTCATTGGCTTTCTGTGTGTTGAGCAGCAGGATCTAGAATAAACCCCCGGTGTTTTGGTGACACCATAGAGAAACTGCTAGAAGTCCTATCTTTAAAAGGTGAATAGGACAGACCACCTACTCACAGGCTCTATTCCATCCAAATTAAGGAATTCAACAATTGAACATCTGAAGGCCTTGTTTTTAAAGTAGGCATCATTAACCTTGGGGGAAAGCCCTGAGGAATACCCATTTCTGATTTCTGTGAGAAAAAAACAAAAGATAATCTCTGCAAAGCCAACTCATGGATGCTCAGGATTATCATTTATAAAGATTGAGGGTGCATATGAGAGGAGGAAACCAGCAGGCTTGCTCTAGATGAATGATTGCTGAGCTACAGAACTGCAGGGCCTATCTGTAGGGCCCCTTAGTACGAGGTGGTTCAGGAGCTCCTGGTAGAGGAGTGGTTTCATGTATGTCCCCAAGAGGTTTTAGGGATGTGCATTTGATCATAGAGCATGCTGCCTACTTTGTATCTAGAGATGAAAAAATGAGTGGCTCACAATGTGAAGGAAAGGAGAAAGGAAAATGGGGGTCTTCTGTACTCAACACCATTTGGTGAGCTGTATAGAGGGTTCTGTAAATACCGTGAATTAATGAAATAGATGAGATCCACTTGTCTTGTGAGTAATCCCACCAATGATAAGATGTCTCTTCTCAGACCGATAAGAGGTAGTGGGCTGAGGGAGGGACTTAGGGTAAGTTGCTGGACCTTGGTTCTCAGAGGACTGTGCTGAATGAGGCCTCCGTCTAAGACAGAGAATAATGCACAAAAGCGTCCTCCACAAGCCAGTCACGATTTGGACATCAGCCACACAGAGGATGTCATGGCCGATTACAATAGTCTCTCTTACCTGAGCTTTTTGCCCCTGTTTCTTCCATTTCTCCTCTGGACACCAACACCTTGGAGATAAAAGGCAGATCAAGAAGCAATGGAGTGTGATTGAGACAAGGTACAGAAAGAGAGAAACAAGAGACAATGTTCTCTTTCCCATATCCTACAGGGCAGGCTTTTGTTGAAAACAGCAAAGAAATTTTGAATTGGATGTGAGATTAGAGTGTTAATTTAGAATGAATGATGCTTGCTTTCTTTTTGAAATTCAAAGCAATTAAAAAGAATCTCACAATCAAAAAAATTATTAAAGTTTTACATACATGTAGAATGTGCATAGATATTAAATAAATATTTCTATGGAGTATCACAAAGTGAATGTATCTATGTAACCAACATCAATGTCAGAAAATATTACGTTTCCAGGACCCAGAAGGCTATTGTACTCCTTCCCCTCAAACCAAGGAAGCCAATTTCCTGATTTCTTACACATTGACAAGAGTTTTCCTTTATATAAATGGAATTATAATACAGCATATACAGATGTGTGTGTGTGTGTGTGTGTGTGTGTGTGTGTGTGTATATATATATATATATACACATTGTACATATATATGGCACCTGGCTTTAAAAAAACTCCTTGGTATCTTTGTGAGACTCATACCTATTGCTTGCATATAGCAGCATTTTGTTCATTTTCTTTGCTGATTAATCTATTGTGTAAATATGTCACACTTTATGTATCCATTCTATTATTTATCGCCATTGGCCTTGTCTCTAAAGATTATCAAAGATAATTCTGCTGTAAGCATTCCTATATATATCTTTTAGTGCATACAAATATATATATATATATATATATATATATATATATCAGTTTATTTTACAGCATTTAGAATGAAATTTTGTGTCATAAATTATATGGGTGTATACATTGAACTTCAGAATATATTGCAAAATATTTTTCCAAAGTACTTGCCCAGTTCTCCTCTCTCAAGCAGTGTATAGGAGTTCTAATTGCTCCACACCCTTGCCTATAGATATGGTTTGGTTGTATCCCCACCCAAATCTCCTCTTGAATTGCAACTCCCACAATTCCCATGTGTCATGGGAGAAACCCAGTAAGAGGTGATTGAATTATGGGGGCAGGTCTTACCTGTGCTGCCTTAGTAATAATGAATGAGTCTCACCAGATCTGATGGCTTTAAAAGTGGGAATTTCCCTGCACAAGCTCTCTTCTCTTGTCTGCTGCCATGTGAGATATGCCTTTCATCATCCGCCATGATTGTGAAGCCTCCCCAGCCATGTCGTGCTGTAAGTCCAATAAACCTCTTTCTTTTGTAAATTGCCTAGTCTTGGGTATGTCTTTATCGCCAACATGAAAAAGAACTAATCCAGTAAATTGGTACCAGTAGAGTGGGGCGCTGCTGAACAGATACCTGAAAATGTGGAAGCAACTGTGGAACTGGGTAACAGGCAGGGGTTGAAACAGCGTGGAAGGCTCAGAAGAAGATAGGAAAATGTGCGAACGTTTGGAATTTCCTAGAGACTTGTTGAATGGCTTTGACCAGCATGCTGATAGTGATATAGACAATAAAGCACAGGTTGAGGTGATCTCAGGTGAAAATGAGGAACTTGTTGAAAATTGGAGTAAAGGTGACTCTTGTCATGTTTTAGCAAAGAGACGTAGCATTTTGCTACTGCCCTAGAGATTTATGGAACTTTGAACTTGAGAGAGATAATTTAGGGTATCTGGCAGAAGAAATTTCTAAGCAACCAAGCATTTAAGAGTTGACTTGGGTGCTGTTAAAGGTGTTCAGTTTTATAAGGGACACAGCATAAAAGTTCAGAAAATTTGCAGTCTGACACTGTGATAGAAAAGAAAATTCCATTTTCTAAGGAGAAATTCAAGCTGGCTGCAGAAATTTGCATAAGTAATGATGAGCTGAATGTTAAGCCCCAAGACAATGAGAGAAATGTCCCCAGGGTGTCTGAGACCTCTGTGGCAGCCCCTCCCATCACAGGCCCAGAGGCCTAGGAGGAAAAAGACCATGGCTTCAGAGGGTGCCAGCCTCAAGCCATGGCAGCTTCCACATGGTGTTGAGCCTGCGAATGCACAGAAGTCAAGAATTGAGGTTTGGGAACCGCTGGCTAGATTTCAGAAGATGTAGGGAAACATCTGGGTGCGTGAGCAGAGGTTTGCTGTAGGGATAGGGTCCTCATGGAGAACCTCTGTTAGGGCAGTGCAGAAGGGAAATGCAGAGTGGGAGCTCCGACACAGAGTCGCTACTGGGGCACCACCTATCGGAGCTGTGAGAAGAGGGTCACTGTTCTCCAGACACTAGAATGGTAGACTCACTCTCAGCTTGCACTGTGCACCCGAAAAAGCCACAGACACTTCACACCAGCCCATGAGGGCAGCTGGGAGGGAGGTTGTACCCTGCATAGCCACAGGGACAGGACTCCCCAAATCCATGGGAACCCACCTCTTGCATCAGTCTGACTGGTACGTGAGACATGGAGACAAAGGAGATCATTTTGAAGCTTTAAAGTTTGACTGTTGCGTTGGATTTCAGACTTGCATGGGGTCTGTGGCCCCCTTGTTTTGGCCAATTTCTCCCATTTGGAACTGCTGTATTAATCCAATGCCTGTACCCCATTTTATCTAGGAAATAACTAATTTGCATTTGATTTGACAGCCTCATAGGCAGAAGGGACTTGCTTTGTTTCAGATGAGATGTTGGACTGTGGACTTTTGAGTTAATGCTGAAATGAGTTAAAACTTTGGGAGAGTGTTGGGAAGGCATGATTGGTTTTGAAATGTGAGGACATGAGATTTGGGAGGGGCCAGAGGTGGAATGATATGATTTGGCTGTGTCATCACCCAAATCTCATCCTGAATTCCCACGTGTTGTGGGAGGGACCCAGTGGGAGGTAACTGAATCATGGAGACAGGTCTTTTCCATGTTTTTCTACTGATAGCAAATGGGTCTCATGAGATCTGATGGTTTTTAAAAACAAGAGTTTCCCTGCACAAGTTCTTTTCTGGCCTGCTGCTATCCACATAAGATATGATTTACTCATCCTTGCCTTCCGCCATGATTATGAGGTCTCCCAAGCTATGTGGAACTGAAGTCCAATAAATCTCTTTCTTTTATAAATTGCCCAGTCTCAGTTATGTCTTAATTAGCAGCATGAAAACGAATGAATAATCCTATGCTTCTGGTTGTCTATCTTTTTATTTTAGCTATTTTGGTGGCTGTGCAACAGAATTCCATTGTGCATCTTACTGCATATTTCTCTGATTACTTGTGAAGCCATTTTCATGTTTTGTCATTTAGAGATTTTCTTGTATGAAATCCCTGTTTCCTTCCTTTTTCTTTCCTTCCCTTCCTCTCTTTCTTTGAGGCAGAGTCTTGCTCTGTCACCCAGGCTGGAATGCAGCAGAAGAAACACTGCAGCCTCAACTTTCTGGGCTCAAAGTAATTCTCCTGCCTCAGCCTCTCATGTAGCTGGGACCACAGGTGTGTACCACCACACCTGGCTAATTTTTAAAATTTTTTGTAGAGTCAGGGTTTCCCAATGTTGTCCATGCTGATCTCAAACTCCTGGCTTCAAGAGTTCCTCCCACTTTGGCTGATCAGTGTTGGAATTACAGAAGTGAGCCACCATGCCTGGCCTCCTGTTATTTTCCATTGGATTATATGCCTATTTCTTATTTACATGAGTTCTTTATCATTAATACAAACAATTTTCTTGCTTACATGAATAGCAAATATTTTCTCTCTAAGCTCTCTGTCTGCCTTTTCACTCTCCTAATGATGTTTTTTGATGGAAGTTTGTAGTTTGAATGTTCAAGTAGAACATTCAATAATTTTTTCTTAACAGATAGTGCTTTTGTAGTTCTTTTTAATATATCATTTAATTATCTAAATGTATTCCAGAAATGTCATTATTTTTCCTTTCACATTTAGATCTACAATCCACATGAATTTATTTCTTTATGCACAATGTGAAATAGAAGTCATATTTATTTCTTATTCTGAATTTTCGTGGCTGAACATATCTTAAATTACAGATTATTTTTAAATTGAGTTACATAACTTTTTCATAGTTGAATGTGCATTTAAATTATACAAAAGACAGGGCTAGTACAAATGAAGTGTTGAAAATCTATAGGCTCTGCCAAAGTTGTTCTCAAGCTGAGGGGAGGGAGATCCAACACAGCATAATTAAAATTCATGATTTGAGAAAAATAAAGCCATTTTATTTAAACCTTCATGGGAATCTGTTTGCTAAATACATTAAATAATAAGAGGAACTATGACTTCAGATGAAAACATTTCTATTGTGAGAAGCCTGTGAAATGTTGAGGTAGATTTGTTTTTGAAGTATGCTTCCTAGTGACACCTATGAAGGTTGAAGTTTTCAAAAAAAGATAGAGGCCATGAATTCACAGTGCTACAGGCAGCAGTAGTGATCTATGATTTTCTGTAACCACTTTAAGAAACTTTTAGTGACTGGGTCCGGTGGTTCATGCCTGTAATCCCAGCACTTTGGAAGGCTGAGGTGGGTTGATCACCTGAGGTCTGGAGTTCAAGACCAGCCTGGCCAACGTGGTGATGCCCCGTCTCTACTAAAAATACAAAAATTAGGCAAGTGTGGTGGCAGGTGCCTGTAATCCCAGCTACTCGGGAGGCTGAGCCAGGAGAATTGCTTGAATCTTGGAGGCAGAGGTTGCAGTGAGCTGAGATCATACCACTGCACTCCAGCCTGGGTGATAGAGCAAGACTCCGTCTCAAAAAAGAAAAAACAACCTTCAAAAAAGAAACTTTTGGTGATGGACCACCATGCCATTTTCTTCTATGTTGAGACACCAATAACTAAGCTCTAGTACATCCACTATATAGGAGAAGCTCCCACTATGCTACACGAATCAATAATTTTATGCCCAAACGGCAGGATGTTTGCATTTTAAGACAACCATTTTGTAAACTTTGTCAGAACAAGTCTACATCTCAAATCATTAGTTGGATGATTTCATACTTACCACTTAAAGCAAATTCTTGCCCATGTGGAGACAGCTTTCTGGCCACCTATTTACTCTTTTTTCATCTGTCATGTGGTTCTCTTGGAGATAGCTATCTGCCGACTGTTCACTCTGTGTAGTCCCTCATACAAATCCAAAGACTAATCTTACTGAGTAGCCTCTTTTTCTCAGATTTCATAAAGCTCGTGACTTCATTAGTCCCTAGACATTTTATATATTTTATTTTGCACACAAAAAAATGCATGGTTTTGAATTGTTGCTCATAAAATACTTAGGTAGCAATTACTAAGTGTCATGTGCCATGTTCCAAGTGTTTCACATATACAAACTTTGACTATTCATGGCGATACAGGAGTTAAGAGGAAATTACTTAGGCAGATAGGCTATGGAAGTCCTTGGTAAGGTTTGTCTTTTTAATGAAAAGCAGCCCCAAATCATTTTCTAACAAAAAGAAGCTGCAGACACAAACAAGCAAGCTGGACACTGGCACCAGTGAATGCTGGCAGAAAATAACTACCAGAGACTAAGCATCTTCAAAATGGCGGCTCCCTCTTCCCTTCCCTTTACCAGCCACATGTATAGTAAAGAACAGATAAGGTGGTGCTGGTCAAGTGGAGAGTCTTATTTGCATAATAAAGTTAGGGTGGGGTGGCCAGCCTTCCCATAGCTGTGTAAATGTGACATCTGATTAAACCAATCTGTGGGACCTGTGTAAATCACACACCCCCTCCTCTAGCCTGCCTATAAAATCTGCTGCAATAGGCCTGCCTTCCTGTTTTACTGACGTTTCTCTTTCTCTCTGGCAAGGGGCTGCTCTCCTCTCTCCTTTAGTCTTTCTATTAAATTTTCTGCTCCTTAATCTACCACATGTGTCCGTGCCCTGAATTCTTTCTCAGCCTGAGACAACAAACCACGGGTAATTCCCCAGACAATGCAGCTGTTCACTAGTAACTCTACAGAGTTGGTACTATTATTACTCGCTTTCTACAGATGAGAAAACTGAGCCACAGGCAATATGTTACTTTTCTATGATCATGCAAGGCCATATCTCTCTCTCTATATATATATATATATATTTTTTTTTTTGAGACGGAGTTTCACTCATGTTACCCAGTGCAATGGCACGATCTCGGCTCACCGCACCCTCCGCCTCCTGGGTTCAGGCAATTCTCCTGCCTCAGCCTCCTGAGTAGCTGGGATTACAGGCACGCACCACCATGCCCAGCTAATTTTTTGTATTTTTAGTAGAGACGGGGTTTCACCATGTTGACCAGGATGGTCTTGATCTCTTGACCTCGTGATCCACCCGCCTCGGCCTCCCAAAGTGCTGGGATTACAGGCTTGAGCCACCGCGCCCTGCCTGCCATATCTCTATATTATCATTCACAATAATAGTAATAATTGAATCAAGAAGATATGAGGGACTGTGCCGGCAGTTTATATATATCATCTTATTTAATTCTCCAAAAACCTGAGAAAACAGGCTCAGAAAATTTAAGCAAATCATCCAGGATCACAAATTGTAGATATTACTCTTAATTTGAACTCATTTCATCAAACTCAAAGCCTAAACTCTATCTATGACATTAATCTATCCTCCCCCCCCACTTCTCAGAGATGACATTGACATGTGAATGAAGAGAGCTGTGAGAGGTGATTATGCACCTCGAAAACAGGTTGCAATGAAATTCTCAAATAATAATAATTTGATAAAGGGACTGGATTCTTTTTGGCTCCACTTAAAACAGTTAAGCACCATGCAACTACTTCACCTATAGTTCCTCTGACAGTAGAGCATTTATATGATAAAATGTTTTATTAAAACAGAAATTGAGTAGTAATGTTAAAGAGTTAATAAAAGTATTTAACAACAAATCCTAATTTTTTTGCCCACCTGCTCTTGCATATCTTTGTAAACTTTTCTTCCACACGATCCATAAATGCACTGTATGCATCACGCCGCCTTCTATGTCTCTGAAGGAAGATGGTACGAAGGAAGTGAGTAAAAGCAGACAGACATGTATTAACTTTAATTGTTTATTTGTTAAAATTTGCTATTTAATAGTCTTTGCTTTAAATGTGTATGTGTAATCCAGATTCACACCTTGTTCTGCTTAGACATAAAGGGCTTAAAACATCCTTATGTGACGAGGGCAGAATTTCAGCCAGGGTAAAAGTATGTGCTCCAACATTTTATTTTTATGATTGTATCACAGAGCTGACTTTTCAGGCCTTCTCATGTGAGTGTCGTTCACTGAACTTCTGGTGATTCCCAATTATATAAGAGGAAATTTGGGAAAAATTTCTTACAATATTTAAGCCTTCATAAAACAAAAATAAAACTCTAAGCCCTCCACCCCCCAACCAAATGAATGGCCCCCCTTCATGAGTGAGGGGACACAAAGAAACCTGAAAAGAAAGTTCAGGCTCTGATGGGAAGAAAAGGTGGGACATGGCTCATTACACCCTCCTCCCTTTGGAATTCAGGCACAATTCACCAGCATAACATTAAAACAGAGACCTTAAGACTGACAAACAACTCTTTGTAGCAATAAGATACCCATTTCAACCTGACTCTAGTGTAGCATTACATGACAAATAGCAGGCTCTGAAGGAAATAAAAGTTTTTTACCCCCAAATGTACTATGTTTTGGCATATTTCAAAATGGCCCTGCAAAGCTATTGCTCTTTTGCAGATAGACTCGTATCTTTTAAGGTCTGATAAGACCTTCACATCTGTTGTTTCTGAAGCCTGCTACCTGGAGTCTTCGACTTCATGACAAGAACCTTGGCTTCCACAATCCCCACTCTTCACCTTAACTCAAGCTTACTTAACTCCTCTAGACAAAGCTAACTCTTTCAACCAGTTGCCAATTGGAGAATCTTTGAATCTGAGGTAGGAGGTGGGACTCAACTCCAGACCAGATGGAAGACTGGTTGAAGCGGGGAAGAGGCACTGAAAGCATCTCTCCAACAGACAGCCCTACCAGTGTCATGACCGTTGACCATTGCTGTGGCAGGATCCAGAAGGTACCACCACTTTTCTAGGAATTTCTGGATAACCCACCCCTTAATTTGCATGTAATTAAAAGTGGGTGTAAATATGACTGCAGAAGTGCCCCTGAGCTGCTACATGGGGATTGTGCATATGGGGTATCTACGCTTCTGCTGCTTATGCACACTGCCGCTTCAATAAAAGATGCCGTCTTACACCACAGGCCTCCCTTGAATTCTTTCTTGGATGAAGCCATGAACCTTCCCAGCCTATGCCCCAGTTTTTGGGCTTGTCTGCCCTGCTTCACATGTACTTACGACCTAGAAGCCTCCAAGATTCGAAGTGTCCTGCATTCCCAGGCCAAACCAATGTACACCTTATATATATTGATTTATATCTTTGCCTATAACTTGTCTCCCTAAAATGTATAAAATCACACTGTAAACGAACCACCTTGAGCCAAATGTTCTCAGGACCTCCTGAGACTGTTACAGGTCATGATCATCAATTTGGCTCTGAAAAAATCTCTTCAACTATTTTACAGAGTTTGGCTTTTTCATCAACACCTTATTCCACTATACCAATTCTATTTGTAATAAGAAAAGAAAATCCAAAATTTTAGATAATCCACTATTTGCATTTAAAAAAAAAAGCAGAGACTATATGCTTTATTTTCAAAGACATAAGTATATTTTACACTGCAGGGAATAAAAAACTCCTGCACTAAAGCAATTGTTGACAACAGTGCTGGAAGCATTTCCCAACAGCTGCAGAGAAAGTCAAACTCACAGTATATGAAGCAGATCTAACAGGCCATGGGTCTTTCGTCAGAATTAGTTTTGAATCCCAGGTGCATTCACGACCCTTGTGGGTGATAAATTTTTCTGTAGTGTTCTTCTGTTTATCGTCTTTCAGTAAATGGCATCCCTGTACTAGAGATATGAAGACAAATGAAAAGCTTAGCAATGACACATGTCTTTGTTCATGATGTCTCTCAGGTGTATCATTTTTGGAAATCAGGACCCAGAAGGGGTAAGTTGTTGAATAATTTATAGATATAAATCTAAAAAAAACTTTTCTTATTTTTTCTCCACTTCCAAATCCAAACTCCACTTCCAAACTCCACTTCCAATCCCATCATTTATTTCTGTGGATGTGTCTTTCTAAAGTATCTCCTTTTGGATGGTATATTTCACATTTACATTCTACCTTAGGTTTTAATTAAAATATTTTTAAGCTTGAGGGCCTTATAAAGTATCTTTGGCATTTTCTACCAAAATGAGTTACACATAGCATATACTAGGAAAGTTGACATGTTCCATTTTAATTACACACCTAGATGACACTTTTATAACACATGTTAAAATTTGTACATTATTTTAAAATAAATTATCGTAGTTTTATAGGTATGAAATTATTTGCTCATTTTGAAAAAGAGGAAATAAATTGTTACTGTGAACTCACTAGTTAGAGACAATCACTGTTAACATTTGGTTTGAATTTATATGTAATTATAATATATAAATACAGCATTCAGATATTATCCATCCTAATCCAAATAAGAAATGCTGAATAATACAAATTAACTCTGAATTAACACTTAACAAATGGCACTATAACAGTAATAATAGCATGCCTGTTTGTATGTTATTTCCATGTGCTTTTTAATACATTACTAAGTGCCTTTAGCACATTTAAGGCTCACATTAATTCTATGATGTAGATATAGTTGTTATCATCTGCATCTTCAGTTGAGGAAACCAATAGATAGACAGTTTAGGTGATTTAGGGCAGTAAAGCCAAGATTCAGAGTTGCACAGCATGGCTCTAGAGTTTATTCTCTTAAGCATTACAGTCCATTTATTCTCTATACATGACACATTGGGTCACAAAAAGAATCTTTAATAATATATTAACAGTTGTGGTAGCAAAGTAAATGTATTGTTGCAAATAATCAAAATGGCATTTAAAAATTTACCATATTATTAAAGGTGATGATAAAATCCACCTGTTTAGTTATAAGCTTTTACAGTTCTACTAATATATAATGCAGAGTTTATTTTTTGCAATATTCATAACATCATAACAGCTTACCTGTACTTAAGGATTGTGACTTAAATTTTAATCCAAAGGGGTCCTTTTCATAAGTTGTCTTAAAGTTGGGTAAACCAGGTTGGTACTAGATATGTAAAGAAAAGATTGCAATATTACCAATACATACATTGTTTCTTATTGTAGTTGGAATTTGATTTTTCCTAATAGTAAATATTTCCTTGGCAAAATGTAATTTTGACAATTTTGTTGTGGCATTCAAATGTAGTATTTAAAGCTTGTTTATGAAAATTTGAAAGAATAATCTGAGATTTAAATAGTGTACAGACAATTCATTTTGTGGTGGAGAGGAGTACTTCAATTACCCTTTTGTGAATAGATCAGAAATATTATCTTAAACAGTGTGGAATTAAGGGAGTCTGTTCAAAATTTGACAACTTAATCCTAAACTTGATCTTAATTTATGACACATAGAATTGCATATTATTTTTCTGGAGCTGAACTTACTTCAGCAATGTAGCAAAAATATTGAACAAAGCTAAATAATTTGTCAAACTTGGAATGGAGTTACTATTTTTTTTTACATATAAGCTATAAACAAAATAGCATTTTTAGTGGTTTAAGTGAACCAATTTTGACTGAAATAGAATTTGTACACTCCATGAACTGATCAAATAAAGCATCACAAAGGTCTCTACTCAAAAGCTAAGTAAATGTGACATGAAACAGTGAGGGTACCAAGCAGAAGTTAAACAGGATTCTATTCTTAATGCATCACCTGCCACAAGCATATAGAACAATATTAAAAGTTCCAAAGAAGGAGATTCTCTAATACGAGATTTTTGAGTCTTAATTGAATACAACACGAAACAAAGTTCCTTTCAAAAAGCTTTCATTGAGGTTTAATTATTGACAATACTGACATCTGGTGGTTACATAATTTATAACACTCTGCCTCCAATTGACTCATTTATAGAAACAAGTTAATTCTGCTAAAATAAAAATATCCCCATTCCTTGAGTTTTATTTACTCAAATTTTGTAAGTCTGTGGTTAGTAAATTACTTATTTTTAAAATATATTTATTTTGAGACAGAGTCGCTTTGTCGCCCAGGCTGGAGTGTAGTGGCGTGATTTCGACTCACTGCAACCTCTGCCTCCGGGGTTCAAGTGATTCTCCTGCCTCAGCCTCTTAAGTAGCTGAGATTATAGGTGCATGCACCCATGCCTGGCTGCCTGGCTAATTTTTGTATTTTTGGTAGAGACAGAGTTTCACCATGTTGGTCAGGCTGGTCTTGAACGCCTGACCTCATGATCTGCCTGCCTCGACCTCCCAAAGTGCTGGAATTACTGGCATCAGCCACCATGACTGGCTTACTAAAGTATGTAAATAAACCAGTAACATTGAATATTTAAATGACCTTTCTCATCCCCAAAAGGTAACATGTTATTTATTATGAATCAAAGTATTTAGCTGCCCTGAATACATAAAGAGAGTTATTGACTACGGCTCCCTGGATTTTCCAAATTTTCTCCTAATGGCTCATAGAGTTGACATTAATTGAATACCTCAACATTTCAAATTCTGTTGTGCTTTGCCCATGTTCATTCATAACTTAAAATAACCACATAAAATATGTAGCATTGTTAACCAACATTATAAATAATGAAAAAGGCTTAGTATCTTGTCCAAAGTTATTAGAAAGTAAAAGAACAGGGATACTCTGATCTCAGAAGTCATGCTCTTAACTACTATTCTATACCTTCCCACTGGACTACATTTATTCTTTTATCTCACTATTTCTAGATCCTGTACTATTAGTTCTAATGCACCTTTGCCTAGCAAGAGTCATTTTATGTGCTAAATTAGAAAACTAAGGATGTAATATATTCACATTTTAGTGGAATCATATTTTGCATAAATCATATTTGACCTTATTTGCATCTCCATATTCTTCATCACCCTTTTAAATTCTAAATCTAATTATTGCCTATATATTATTTAAATTATTAATCATCCAAAAGATTCATTAAAGTAATAGAGTATCCCTTCTTAACTATTTTCATTCCTTCATTAATTTACACCACACATTTATTTTATTATTTCTAGATTATAAACTCCTGGCAACTGATGTCTGTTCTCCAATCAGCTCTAAACCCGATCTGTTCTCTTGAAACCTAAGAAAGTCCACATCAGAGTTGGCCACTTGACCTGGCAGATAAAACCTCATCAGAAACAATCAGGTTCTTGCTCTCTTTTCTATCATTTATTGCTAAATCTTAATTGCGTTGTTCTGTGAGAAAAAAAAAAGATGCATCCTTATACACATTATATCACCTTTTTTCCATATGCAATAGTTTTTCTCATTAAGAAATGAATGAAATATAATACATAGTTCCCCTTATCTATATTAAAGTATTTTTATTCAAATTCTCTGTTGTACCTGTCGAAAATCATGTGGTTTGGGATTGACATATACACCCTTTGGATATTGTCCACTCTTCACAAACATTAACTTTGCTTTCGATGAATCCAGATGTGGAAATGTAGTTATAAATTTAGGAGTTATGGCCTTCTTAGGATGATTCCTTATGCTAGGCAAGTGAAGCATTATATCTGGAAAACTGCTTTTTTCCCTCCTTTTTTCTTCCTTAAGGGGTTTGGATGATCTTTCTGGAATTCTCAAAGAGGTATACAGCTTGTAGCTAAAATCAGGTGGCTTTATTTCCCATACGTTAACTTTCATTTTACATTGTGGAGGTTGCAGAACACTTTTTTTCCATTTGGAGTTGAGATCCTGTCGTGAAGAATATTGCAGCCTCTTTGCAATATCCCTATCTCTTGTGCCTCTCTGAGACTCATGGTACATTATGTGGAGGGCGTTTTCACATGGAGGAACCTGCAACAGACATGGAAATAGGTGAAGCTTGTCACTATAGCAATGGTGTATTCAACATTTTCTCTCCAAGCAAAGTTAATCTTTGAAAGATTTTTGAAGCAGGAAAAAGCTCAGAAATGTCAGGAAATGTGGATGGAGGAGAAGGAGAAAAGTATCATTGCTGCAAATATTTATTCAGAACCTTTGTCACAGCAGTCACTGCACTAGGGCTGGTCATTTTTTAAGTGATTGACATAAAATCCATATCCTTGAGTAACTGAAATGCTACTTAAAAGACAAACATAAAAACCAAAAATAAAACCTGTGTGATAGGATAGATATTACAAGTATTATGAGAAGCAAGGAGATTGGTCAGCTAGCTTTATCAGGAAAATAGATGTGATGTCAAAAGCTGTCATTTGGATTGATCTTTAAAGGTAAGTAGAAACATTCCAGGTGGTAAAGGAAGGCAGTAATGTTTCACCTAGAAATAGAAAGTATGTGAAATTCATTATCACCTATTTTTAGGATACCTGTAGCTGCCTAAACCATCACAAGTACATTGTAATTATTGCTATTGAAACTTATAAATGAGAATCATGGATTTGCTTTTTGCTGACTAGCTAACCAGTGACAAGGAAATCATTATTACACTTCTCAGATTTAATGACATTATCAATATGTTACTGGATGATTTAATTAATTCAAAGTCTCCTTGGAAAGGCTAATTACCAATTAAAATATATTTGGTGGAGTAGAAATAGTACAACAATGCTGGTTCCTGGGAAATAAAGACCTGAGGCGAGGATGAATTTCCTTGTCTTGTGCTATAATTTTGTGTTGTTTCATTACAGCATCAAAATAGAGGGTCAAAATTCTACATGCTAGTTTTCAATATACCAAAGTTGTAAATGAAGGGAGACTACTGCGAATGAAAGGAAACTACGCTTCAGATATGCTGAAAATGTCCATTTTCAAAAATTTATAACATTTTTCAATGATGGATTGTTTTCCAAATACTAATGTACATATTTTTATTTTATAATGGGATATGCTATACTGAAAGAAAAGCAAGAAGCATGTAAAAGGAGCATAGCTTCTCTGTGACGAGACAGTGAAAAATGGTATAATGGGAAAAACTAGAAAAATTAGTTGGAGTTATATTATTAAAAGTCTTTTATGCCACACTAAGAAGTTTTAAACTCATCAAAGAGACAAAAGGGAACAAATAAAAAATTACAACAGGGAAATAGTTAGCAAGTTATTTGTATTTTGGAAAGACCACGTGGTAGCAGTATGGAGAACAGCCTCACAATAAAAAGTGAAAGCTAAGGCAAAGAGAAAAAAAGAAAAAAAAATCCCAAACCCAACATAGCAACAATTTAGATGAGAGATAGTTAAAAACCTAAACAAAAATGCAGCATGAAGATGAGAAAGGGAGGTTGTTCTCATGAGCTACTTAGCAAATCTAAAATCTTGGGCTTTGTTTCAAATATATTGCAGTTTATTAACCAAAATAGGGAATAAAGGAGAAGAAACAGTTTACGGAAGAAAGTCAGGTAATGAGTAGATTTCAATAAAATGTAAATTTCATACTAATCATGGAAAAAAATGAAAAAGGAAAAGGCACACAAAAAAATTTAAAAAAACATACAAAACAACGAAAAAAAAGAAAAAGAAAAAAAAAGGAATCAAAGTTTATCACTACAGAAAACAACCAAGCCACAAAGATAAGAAGGGAATAAAGAAAGAAAGATATACAAAACAACCAGAAAACAATTAACAAAGTCAGAGTATGTCTTCAAGTGTCAATAATAACTTTCAATGTAAACAAGTTAATTTCCTCAATTAAAAAATATAGACTGAATGGATTTAAAAAAAAGACTCAATTACATGCTTCCTGCAAGAACTTCACTTCACTTGTAAAGACACACATAGACTGCACGTGAAGGGATGGAAAATGATATTCCAAGCAAATGGAAACCAAAAGTAAGCAGAAGTCACTATGCTTATTTCAGATAAAATAGATTTTAAAAAATATAAAAAGAGACAAAGAAGGCCATTACATAATGATAAAGAAGTATATTAAGCAAGAGAATATAACAATAGCAAATAGATGTGCACCCAGCACTGGAGCACCCAAACATATAAAACAAATTTTTATTTTATCTAAAGGGAGAGATAGACAGCAATACAATAATAGTAAGGGACACCAAAATGCCACTTTGAGAAATGAACAGAACTTCTAGACAAAATCAATGAAGTATCAAAGTTAAACTGCACTCTAAAGCAAATAAACCTAATAGACATTTATAGAACATTCCACCCAGCAGCTAACAGAATGTATGTTCTTCTCATTTACAAATATAACTCTTTCCAGGATAGATCATATGTTAGGCCACAAAGCAAGCCTAAACAAATTTTTAAAAGATTAAAAACATATCAAGTATCTTTTCTGACTACAGTGGAATAAAACCAGAAATCAGTAACAGAAGGAACTTTGGAAACTATACAAATACCTGGACATTAAGCATCACGCTCTTGAACAACAAATGAGTCAAAGAAAAAATTAAATTTCTTGAAACAAATGAAAGTGGAAATAAAACCAAAACCTATGAGATACAGCAACCGCAGTTCTAAGGAGGTGTTTTACAGCAATAAACATCTTCATCAAGAAACTAGATGAAGAAACCTGTCTCAAATGTAGAGACAGGTTCAAGATGCTGACTAGAGGTATCAGGCACTTGCCTTCTCCAGACAGAAGAAACAAAACTTAACCAAATAGATAATCACACTTCAGATAGAACATCTAGTAGCGAACATTGGAGGTTAAGAGACATCACAGGAAATACTTGAGACACAGAAGGAGAAGAAACCAAATGGCCAGCTTGGCCAAGATTGTCTGGGAGCCCATAGGAGGTCATTATTACAAAGAAAGAGTAAATGGAAGACCCTCATTGGCTTACATCCTTACTGTGGACTGTTGCAATCCTAACCATGGGAGAGATCCTCCACTCACATTAGGTCTAAGACTACTGTGGATGTTGATCTGGAGACCCAGTGAAGGCACTGTACCAGATAGAAAATATACTGGGTTGCACTCACCCTTGAGACCTAAGTGGCTGCCGCATAGCACCATTGTGAGAGCCTAGTCATCACCACTCTGGATCCTGCTCTGGGAACAACAGCTCTCATATCTCCACATCCTAGGAACCTCTGTTTATATCCCCTGGTGTTCACCCAGAGGGCTACAGAGGCACAACATTGGCTGAGCCCATAGATGCTTGGGTTCTCCAGTACTTTTGTCCCACAGAGTGCTATTCCTTGGAAAAAAAAACAATGGTGCAGCACACCAACGAGGCAACCACTGGGATCAAAGAAAGCCAAATTACAGAGCTGGAGAGCTTTCTGTCTGGGGCTTTGATAAGTGCCTTCACCTCTAACTGTGTCACATACTGTGCTTGGGTTCACAGTCAGAGAGTGGGATCTTTTCCCCTGCCCCTGCACAGTGCTATAGCAGTTGCTGCCAGTGGGAGCCAAGGCAAGCAGGCCTGAGAGTTGTCTGACTGGGGCTGGAAGGAGTGACCACATCCCTGCTGGCAGCATCGCCTCTGTGCTTGGACTTAAGCATAGAGAATGGGATCTTTTTCTTCCTCACATTCTGCTGCTGCTGCAGCTGCCCATCCAGGGGCTGGATGGGCAAGAGAGGGCTGCTTGTCTGGGGCTGTGAGTTGCGACCATGCTCCCACTAGCAGTGTGGCCTGTGTTAAAGCTGGCTCACAGAGGGTGGGGTTCTTTCTCACATCTGTTCGGTGCTGTTGCTGCTGCTGCCTCCAAGAGCAGGTAAGCCTGAGAGCTGCATGTCTGGGCTGTGAGTGGTGACCCTGCTCCTCTGGCAGTGTGGTTATGTGCTCTGGCTCCCAATAGAGGGTGGGATCCTCATCTCCACTCTCTGCAAAATGCTGAAGTCACTCCTGCAGCAGGGAGCTGAAACAAGTGCAACCTAGAACTGGAGACTCCCTGTGCCAATCCTCCCATACCAACAGCATAGTTTCTGTGCTCTAGGGCACATCTGAAAATCAGGCTCCTCACACTCACCACTGCAGTCACTGCTGCTACCAGAGATTACAAGCAGCTCTCAGGCTCTGGGTTCACTTCCTAGAGCCTGGGCGCTGCTTGTAGGAGACTGCTGATAGCAACCTACCCATACCAACAGCATGAACACTGTGCTTTCTAGCACGAACCCTATGATCAGGTATCCATACCAACCATCACATATTGTCTCAGCTTGCCTACTACAGCCTATCCCCCTGCACACCATCAGGGGCCTGAGGACAGACACTCCAGATTGGCATCACATCTCTGAGCCTGAGCACACCACCCAAGGACTTGGTGATTCTTCTATCCATTCCAACACTTATACCATCTATTCACTCTCCCTAGGAACCTGAAGATGGGCCCACCCACCTTACTGCCAGCACTAAAAACACATGTGCCACCTAGGAGCTTGGGGAGGGATCTGCCCAGCCAATCCCAGCCACTGCCAACACCAGTATGCACTGCTCAGGAATAAGAGGGTCATCTTGCCACTGCTACTGCCATAGACCATGCTGTCTGCACAGGGGCCTAAAAACCAGTCCACCCACCTGGCCCACCACTGCCATTACCACCATCTGGGCAAGATACGTGGAGGCCTGATAAATGGCCCAACTGGATAACTAACACCAGTGCCAGCATACACCCCCCAGGGGGCTAAAGGACGGGTACACTCAGACCATTGCTGCAACCACTTGGCCCTGAAGACGGACTTACTAGCAATCTCTCTTCCCAGAAAATCTCCACCAGAGCCTCCACTAACGACCACACCCTAAGTCACTGAGGAAATCACAGATACCACTAACATTGTTTGTAGGCAAGGAAACCATATAGAGACTATACTAGCGCACACATTCAGAATCAAAACCAAATGCCCCAGCCAACATCATAGATAAATAATTGGAAAAAGCCCTAAGCTACAAAAG